GATGTAACTGCATTATCTCCTTGCATGACTGTTTCTGGAAAAGTATTTCTAGTTCAGTGGTTCCCACTCTTTATTCTGAGCAAGGGTAAAACATCTGCTGCAGAAACCAGCCATCTTTTATATATCCAGCTACCAAATTCATCTCTCAGATGTTCCAAACTAATTCCCACTGCTCTTGGGAAGCAAGAATCTGAGAGCTGAACTGTTCTTTAGCTAGGAAGGTTTCAAGCCAAACTGTCTGCACTGCTTCTGCCTTCCTGCTTTTATGGTGGTCTGTATCTACCACAGAATTAAGGAGTTCTCATGCTGGGACTCCATTTCAAAGACAAAGGTTTTGGGAAAATGTTTATTCCACCACAAGGGAGAGGATGCGATAGCATGCAAGACAAGCAATGACAATGTATGCAGGCTAGTCAGAGAAACTAGTCTGCACTTTTATCAGCATGTTTGGGATGCATTTGAATTCCCCCAGTTTCTGGAATTGCGCTGGAAATCAGGAATCACATTTTATTGAATGTAAGGAAGCTACATGAAGTGGGACCACTGTCTCAAGGGGAGAAAAAGTAGCTAATATCAGTAGAAGGAGTCGGAAAAACAAGCAGCAGTACATGAACCTGTGGGTGGGAACCACTGTCCTAGCCACTCTCATGAAAGATGATGTGATCTGCGCATGCTTCATACTCTGAGACTGAGCCATGCGCATGCTGTTTTAATGAAGGAGATATTGTGTCATGAAAGCAAGTTTCTTAAGTCTTTTTAAAAAGCACAATGAAAACAAAAACCCCAGCAGACCCAGATTTCATCCCTTGGAAATGAGAATAAAGTCCATTTTTTCTCTGATGACAGCTAGTCACTATCTGGAAAGAAGCTTGGGTTTTGTTTTGTTTCTTTTGTCTACAACATACCGTTGTATTTTTTCATGTGAAGCTGATGAATTATTTTCTGATTATTCTACTGCTCTGGCTGCCTGGATATGAACACAATTGTCTATATTTATTGCATAAACATACTGTTATGAATCTGAATGTTACTTTAAGGGTTAATCATCAGGATTCAATTAATGAGGAAGGCTTCAGCTCAGGTGACTTTAGCTTAGACTAGAGACCTGCTTTTTAAATGACTTCTCATCTAGATCTTTTTGTAGTCAATAATGAGACAAGTTCCCACAACTGTAAAGTCAAATGGAGCTGAACTGCACACTGTACGTTGCTAAGTTCCCACTGATTATAGAAAGGGGTCTAAAGGCTAATCTTAGACAGGACATTTAACTTTTTAAACAGCTTAAGACAGATAAGATGAGTTCTAGCTCCAAAACCTAAGATGCTCGAGCAACAGTTTTGGGACAACAGTTTCATAAGGAGGGCAGTTATTACAGGAGTTTTAAGGGACAAACTTTGAGAGATCTGGATACGTATTTTGAAGGATGAAACAAGTTTCTGGAGAGAGAGTCAGAAGCCACATGTAATGACAACTCTATTCTTCTAATATAATATTAAACTGCTACTTATAAACAATAGGAATCCTCTGTCTCACCTGTTTTTCTGCTTCTTTGTCTTTCAGATTCTCTGCCTTAAACATATTCTTCTCTTGAGAACTTCTCTGTAGAATTACTAAAGCAATTCTTGTGGCATTTAATACGTTGCTCGAAGCCAATGTGTAGTATGTGACCACTTCTTGCCTTTGAGAAAATCACCTCATCATCTGATATCATCTGAGTTTCACTGCTAGATTTCATCCTTCTAGGAGCTTCCTTCTCACCCTGGAAGGTCTTGAACCAAGATGATCAATCTTGAAATCCTGAAGAATAGGTGGACTATAGTCTCCCCTTTCATTTGAGATTCATCTATCATTGGTGACCTGTTAATGCCCCCACCAGGAAAAGCTGATCTCCACAACAAGCCTGTTGTACGTACAATTTTTTCAGACCTAGGGAAAAATGTGTTCATTTTATTATCACTGAATAGATCTACTCATCCTAAAACTGCTTCAGTTTCTTCCTTCTTGTAGCTTATTTCACAGTCTCCTTCAATCTACAAAGATCACCACGATGTCAAGCATGCTTAATTGCTCTGTCTTTTTTTCTTTGCATTGAAGACCTCACAAGCTGACTTCTTCTAACATCTTCATGCCCATCAGTTTATATTGCCTGTCTGACTCTTCACTCAGCCAGATTTTTGGTGCTTTTTTTTGCATTAAAATCCTTTTCAGTGCTGTGCCATGATTCCAGACTCTTGTTGACCATCCTTCTCAAAATTAATTCCTCCTGACTTTGGTTTTATTACTATTGAGACATGAGAATTTCTTTTTCCCTACTTTAACCCCCCAAAACCACACACAACTCATTCAGTTGACTTTTACTTCCTCACCTTTATTTTTCATGCCCTTTCAAAACTTGGTCATTAGCTGTCGTCTTCTCCAGTATATATTTTTCCTATATATGGTAGCTGAGTGCTTGAAGAATCCAAATTTCACAGAAATTACATGGAGTTAAGACATCTGTCTTGTAAAGCACTACTGCTCTCAAACATGGCCTCTGAAAGAATAGAGAAGTGATAGTGAGAAAAGAGATCACAGGATTCTCCCTGTCTTAGTAGAATACAAACTGCTTGTTGGGACCCTGAACTCACCATCAGTTTAACCTTTAGAGCACCTTAGTGGATCAATCAGATCAGTTTTCTAACCCAAAAGCAACCACTATGGCAACCACTTTTTAAACAAGTGCTTAAGACCAAACATGAGATTGCCCTACACGTTCTGTGATGACTAATTTGACACAGATGTCAACAAGTAACATCTCATATTTTTCTACAAAGAAGAAAGTAGGCCCTGATTTTTGCTCCATACATTTGTCTGTGCTTTGTTTGTCTTTCCCATGCCATTAATACCTCAGGAAATTACAATAGGGCAAAGTCTGGGTAATATTAATACCATTCACCTAGATTGTTCTAATTCTTCACTCAAATCCATGCTTTTATCTTCTCACATCATTGACATCAGTCCTGGCAACGCTGATATAGCAGGACTAGCTATGTGTCTCCATACACACATAAGTCCTTCTTAGTTGCCACTTCCATACTTGCACACGCATATGTGCTTCATGCACACAATGACAGGACAAGTATCTGAATTTACTAGGCTGCAGAAATTGCATTCACAAGTATTGTCATATGTCAACAAGAAAATTCAGAAGGCCTGAAAAAGCATCCTACACAAAGGTTTAGTGCTTCCATCTTTTGTGACAGGGAAGCCCATATTTCATTACCTTCTGGGTCAAAGATATAATAATTAGAAACCGGTAATAGAGATGAGGTCCCCAGTAATTCATATTAAAAAAAAAACCAAAACACACAAAAAACTGTAACAGCTGTGGTGTTCAATGCTCACATCACCTAGAAATTTTGTATGCTGTAAACTGCAGTATTCCTACTAGAGTCAGCACTTATGAAAGCTGCAGTCATCATACATGTCTTTAAATCCATCTCACCTTTATCATTTTAAGAGGAATGTTCTAAGAACTTCCATTGTGGAGGGATACTGCCACAGACAGAGCTCTGAGATAGAAATAGTTTCTTCTTTCAAAGAGGTGCACCAATGACACCAGAGATCCTAAAACACAAAAATAATCCATCTGACCAAGATAACGCCTTCAATAGAGAATAAGTGGTTCTATGAGTGAGACCCTTCACTTGCAAGGTCTGCACGCAAGTCTCCATTTTTGTCCACTATGTTCTTGCATGGTGGACCCTTCCCACACTTGCCTCTCCTGCCAGCTTCGTTTAGTGGCTTCAGCTGTACATGCTGCACAGATACCTCTCTGCATACCTATGAAATGTCTTTCTTCTGGTCACTGCTGCTGTTCGTCCTTCAGCTCTGCACCCATCTCTGGCTCTCAGAAACCTGATAGCTGCAGTGGCTTCTTCTCTCCCCCCACTCAACCTGCCTGCCCTTCTCTCCTGCATCTAAGTGCCTCTTGACCTTGGGTGCACAATTCACCTCTCCCCAGAGCTATCCCACACTGCAACATCCAAGAATAGGTAAAAAGGCAGGCTTTCTTCCCATGGCTTAACCCCACATTGTTGTAACAAATGTGCAATTGACACTTAAGCAGCAAAGCGAACATGCAAATCAAATAATTATACCATCTTTCAGTTATGAAGTGTTCAGAGCATATTTAAGCTGATATGCTCACTAGCAAATTCCTTTTGTGTTGCTCTTTTCAGTGGTATTAGTAATTGCATTTAAGACCCTTAGAGTCATCAGGCTGTCAGAAGGGTTACTGATGCTGGTAAGATGGCAAGTAGATGCAGTTCTAGCCTTATGTTGTCACTAAACGAAAAATGTCTTTGGTCAGTAAATCTGTAAGAGGACAGTGCAAGGAATCGTCAGAGGAACAAAATATGTCACTTTACTACAGTTCATATAGGTCACCTCGATTTCTAGTATAGTCAGAGATGACTGAAAGTGGAGAGAATGGAGTAGCCTGCCCTACCATGTACCTAGTAATTGCTTGGCAATGCCTTTCCTGTGTTCCACTGATAATTTATTTGGTTCATAGCACATCTGACTTTCTTTTAGTCCTGGCAATGCACATGAGTTATTAATTTAATAGCCTGCCATAGACAAAGCACTGAACAGGAAAGGCCAAGCATCCTTATCATTAGACAATATAACTACCTAAGTAGTGGTGTTTCTCTTCTTAATAATAAATCTAATGCTTCAGACATGCTACTGGAGCTGAAGCACTGTGATACATTACATAGAGAGGATAGCAAGACCCTCTGGTAACATTTTCAACATTGATACAAAAAAATGCTCATAAAAAGCAGTTAATTGTCTGTGGAGCTTAGCTGTTGCTTACAAAGACATTGATGTATTATGGTAGCCCCAGCAGTGTCCTTGTGTACAAAACATTTATTTAGCCCATTATATATTTAAAGCATCATGAAAACAAGTTAAAAGTGTACAAAGGAGGAAAATGATTACTTTTGCTTATTTTGTAGCCAAAAGCTGGGTCTCTTGGATCGGGTTCGTGGTACCAATACTAAAGGAAAGCTATTTACCCCTCTGAATGTAGATGCCATTGAAGAAAGTCCTTCAAAAGAGCCTAAGAATGTTGTCTTGAATAATAAGGAGCGTTTTCGCACTGCATTCCGAATGAAAGCGTACGCTTTTTGGCAAAGCTCAGAAGGTAGCCCATCTGTGTTGATTTCTTTCCATCCATCCCCTGTTTTCCCCATTTTACTTTGTTCCTCTGCATCTTCTGTTGAAGGTTTGTGACTTTCTGGGCCAAGCATGGCCGGTCCCTGGTTTTACATGGCACATTTGGGGAAGCTCCAGGAAACAAATGCTGGAGTCCAGGCAACACAGTGCTTGAAATAAGACAATGGGTCTCCATAAATACAGCAATCGATATGGGATAAAGCCACTGGTGGAATCAACCCATTTGATCTGGAAAAAGAGGGCACACTGGGCAGTGAATCTATACCCCAAAAAAGCACATGCCATCACAGCTCGGTTTTTCAGCAGGGATGCTATGCCAAGATAGTTCCCTCCTAGACTGCATCCAGCCCTGCACTAGCCTGTGTCCAGGCATCTCAAATATCTCCTCATTGCAATCTCTTAAAACCTTGTTTCATAGAGACAACTGTTGCTTCCCCCCACTCTCCCTAAGACTGCTGCCCCTCAGCAGATTTCCATTGGGTGTCCATGCAATATCATAGGGCATTTTTCCTCTCAGCTTCCCTGAGCACACATTTTCCTCATCTTGCCTACAGCATCGAAATGGTCTCTAAATAACAGTTTCTTTTTTATTGTACCAGCTGGCATCAGTGCATGCTGGGCAGACTACCATGGATGTAGTCTGGGTGTCCACACCAGAAACTTGATTATCTTTTTCCACGAAGCTACATGAGCTCCAAGTGTGGGAGGAGAACTTGGCCCGTGGCTTCTACGCCTGTTTTACCCTTACATAAAATAATTTTGGCAAAGACTTATTGTTGTAAAAGCTCCTAAAAGTGGGAACTTCTAAATCCATTGGAAAGGAAAAAAAAGTTCCCAAGTTTCAGAAATGCTGGAATCTGAGAGGAGATCACTCACATAATGCATCTTACAGCTGTACCAGCAGAATTATGAAATCCTGTTCAAGAACTGACCAGAGAAAGAGGAACCCACAAGAGATGTTCCTTTACTAAATTACACTTACTTTAGTCAGCCAGACCTCCCTCTAAACATTGTGTGGTCAGATATTCACACAGCTTTTTGTGACCTGCTTTGCAGATGCAGGAACAGGGGAACCCATGGCAGAAGAGAGAGGCGACAGTAGCGACTTCCTTATGGAAGATATGATCCCCACATTCAAGACAGCCATCAGAGCTGTCAGGTAAATGTCTCTGATGCTCCTCAATGTTTTGCTTTTACTTTGAATGCTTATGCTTCAGGAAATCACATTACCATGTTGCTACATGCTGATTTATTGTTGCTGTTATTACTTTTTTTTAATGCAATAGATTAGATAATTCTAGATACACTGAAAAGCACAAGACAGACCCTATTTAAAGTCCTCATTGAAAATCTACAGAAAAGAAAATGTATTTCAATAACATTGACCATGCCATTTTTGCAGGATGCTCCATAAATTATAAAATAATCTTGTATACAGTTCCTCATTAAAATATGTTATATAGTATCTTGCTCAGTTTAGTGACTGTAGTATTTATGTAAAACTGGAATTTCACTTAACAATAAACTCTGAGCTGACTCAACTCTTTTTTATTCACAATTGTATGAGTGTGCAGTATACTTTTCAGCTGTTATATTTTAATAGATGACGAGATCTCCATTTCAGCAGTCTTCAGCTTGTGACATGTGTCACCTCTATTTTCATATCACAAGAGATATTCCCTAGGGTAAGAAAACTCCTAGTTAGGCTTGATAATGTGTTTAGTACATCAAGCACATGATGCTCTGTTACTTCTCCACTCAGTATTTTTTACTCCCTTCCCTTGAAAAATGCCCCCATAGGAAAATACTCTACTTACATTGCAATTGCTTTTTATTCCAGAAGTTGTTAAGTTTCGAACCAGGGAGTTACTACCTTCCAGGTGAAATACTGCAAGTCTGGAGTGCCCCAAAATTATCTTAGAAAAGCTTCAAGGAAGATGGTTCTAACTATATAAACATATATGTATATAACCATAATATGTATTCTCCTGATTCTTTTCCAATTGGGTGCAGGAGAACCTGTCATTAAAAATTCCAAGTTTTCTCAAGCCTGCTGAAAGCCATATCCCACAGGCTTTGCTCATGTTACCCATGACTGCTTCCCTCCCACTGGAAGTTTCTTTGTCCCTACTTCCTCCACAATTTTCTCTTTCTACAGACTATACATCTGTCCTGTTTTCCAGCCCCACCTCCATGAGACAAGTTGTTATTACTTTTGCAAAACTTCCTTTCCCACGTCCTGTGCAAATTTAATTGATTCATGTAATTTCCCTTTAAACTCAATCATGAGCCAAGCTTTTTTTTTTTTTTTGTCTTTCTTGTATAGTTTACCCAGACCCTGAATGCTAATGGGAAGTAATTCTTTCAGACAGAACCCCTTAATGGGTTTTCAGGGTCATGATCAAGGAGATTTTAAATTGAAATTGCTAACAATGTGATTTCCTATTTTTCATTTATGCTTTTTTTAAGTATAGTTTTGTTTTTATCATGTATAGTTTGTCTGTGATAGGCATAGGTATAATTTTGAAATCTTGAAAGATTTATAAGCAACAGAGTTAAAGGGTCGAAAACCCTTAAAAAGTCGTAGTAGAATTATCTTTGCTAAATGAAAATCTATACAGATTTTAAAAGGGTTAAAAAACCCTGCCAACCTTGAATAAAAAACAGGTTAGAATCTTAACAGATGACAGCAATTCACCAATTCAAACCAATAAGAACATGGAGACTCTACTGAGAAAGCAAACCCTCAGACCCCAAGCCTAAGAGAGATTAAAGAAATAAAATGCTTTTCATTCTTTCAATATGTTTCTTGTCGATTTGTTTAATCTACCAAGATATAACAATGTAAACTAATGTATAAACAGAAAAGAATGAGAAAAAAAGAATGCCAAACAGTTTTCAAGTGCTCTGGCCAACACTGGTCCTTACTATAAGAATTCTGTTATTAATTACTAGGGCATTTTATAATAATAGTAATAATAACGGCTATTATTATTATTATTATTATTATTATTATTATTATTATTATTATTACAACAACAACAACAATAACGTTATACTGCTGTTTTTTCAAGGACACTTCAGGCAGTTCTAACACTTTTCTCCACAACTTGAACTGCTGCTGACTTCTTAACTTCCACATTTCCATCTAATTAACATTTCCTATCCAAAACTTTCCCAGGTGCACAATGAAAACGAAGCTGAAAATGATTCAGCATTATATATACCATAAATTACCTTTGTAATAGACTGAAGCATAAAAAGGCAGCTTCAGCTTCACAGTTTCAAAATCTCCTGTGACTTGTGTTGTTCAAAATCAAACTCCAGATGTGATTTTGTAGCTTTGAACCATTTCTAGTTATGATGATAGTGCTGAAAAAAAACATTTTATGTGTATAATTTGTTTTAGCCTATTAATTACAAAAAAGCCAACTATTATATATTTACAAATGTGGTATTATATTAGAGATTCTCTGCTTATGTTTTATTGCCTTGTTTTGAAATAACATGCTCAATTTCCAAACATCCAGAGAATTTATCAATTATTTGATACAACTTCAAATTATCATTATGGAATTAAGAAGTTAGTAATGTTTCTGTTTATTATGCAGAATACTACAGTTTCGTCTCTATAAAAAAAAATTCAAGGAGACTTTGAGGCCTTATGATGTAAAGGATGTGATAGAGCAATACTCAGCAGGGCATCTTGATATGCTTTCCAGAATAAAATATCTTCAGGCAAGGTAAGAATCCTCTTGTAAATGGGGAAAATGTATAGCTGCGCTGGCAAAATAAAAGCATAGTTGGCCTATTTGTGTACAAGGCCCCCCAGAAGCTATGTCTTTGCATAGCATAGCCAGTCAATAAGAAAGCCTTTTTCCCAAAAAATAAAGGCAAGTGAGCATCTAGCAGGGGTAACTGCAGCAGAAGAGACCACTGGCTCGTATTTAGAACAGGGAAATCAGAGTAAAAAATCTTGTGAATTTTCTTGACCATTGCCTTATTTGATTAGGGTCAAGTTTCTCCCCTTCTCCCTTTTTTACAGATGATAAATAAAAGCAATAGTTGCTCTACATGAGCTTTTTTTTGGGCTGGATTCTCTGCTGACCTGTGCCTGGTAAAACATCTCTTACAAGTGGAAAAACATCAGCACAGAAGGTTTTACGTCCTCTTCACTCAGGTGTAAATTGACCTGCATGAAAATAATTGGAATTTCAGGCCTTTCTGACTGTTCAGGTGCAATCTGCTCCCACAGTTGTTTCCTCAGAGAATTGGTTCATCCTGATGTGCTTTTGATGCATGTCTACAAAAATTTGTGCTGCTTGTGTCCTGAACCATGAGCGCAGGTCAGAGCTTGAGCTACCAAGCTTGTATGGGTTTGGGTGCGCATGTGTGTATACGGATGTAGCTGTATTAGTTCAGTCTCAGCACAGCAATGTCCACATCCCCTGAGCCCCTCCAGTCACTCTGAACAGCAAAATGCCACGCAGACATAACCTTGATTTCTCTCAAGAATGGGCTGAATGAGTGAAACTCTTGCTGCACATTTGGACCTTATCTAGATTTACCTTGACTTTGTAAGGCTGCTCTGGTCCTTCTGTTGAACTTCATAATTTCTTATTTCAAAGTGTTTTTCCATGTACTAGGCTATCTCATTTTCAAGTATATAACATGTCTGGTTCCTACCTCACTATTATTGCTCTAGAAAAGCTGCTCTCTTTAATTATATAGCACAAAAGACCATTGTTACTCCATAAAATGAGCTCTGCATCACATGAGCTTAGGTTTCAATGCAGTAATATCTTTTTGAACTCAGGAAGTTGAGGAGGGCTCATGATGTTAGAAATCTGCACCTACAGGGTGCAGGTGGGGCCTACAAGCCTTATTCTGGAGATGCTTTCTTCACCTCAGACTAAGGTGGTGTGTGATTTTGGACAGCAGAGCACCTCTCAGATACTCACTTGAGTCCTAGCAGCTGTAAAGGTGGCTGACATGATTAGGCCCATCTCACGCAGTGATTATGGCAGGTGAGTCGGGGCAAGAATTACAGCACAGCCTCAGCTCCGTGATGTTCAGCTCAGCAGTGCCATGCCCCAGTATAAAGAATCACCAGTAGTGGAAGATCCACAAAATTTCAACAGCCATTTTGCACATATACAGGGAAGATCTTTTTAGAGGTCTTTGAAGAAAAATATAATAATCCTGGCAAGCCATGTGAGATTCCTCTTATAGTTAACAGGGACCTGGTCAACATAATTAATGGCCTTTATGGCACAATTAATTCCTGCTTAAATCAGATGCCTTCGTTTGATCAGTTGAATCTCCCTTACTCTTCTCCAAATTTTCTTCACTGTGTTGACTAGATCTCCACTGACTGTAATCGGACAAAACCAGGGAGATGAGTACTACTCATTGTGTCTATGAGTAGCAAGATGGCATACGAGTTTGATGAGACATTGACTGATGGCCCAGCAATGCTTGGGTGCCTAGTAAATATCTAGCTAGCTTTGTGAGGTTTGCCTTGAGCTTTTTTTAAGTTCCATTTTCAAAACTCCATGGGGCACCATGAAGCCATGCATGGATTGTCTGATAATACAGATAACTGCTCTGTGGACTAGTGCTGACTGATATCTGGTCAGTTTGGTGTGTGAGCTGAATGAACAGAGGCTTGCTTACACCTGAGCAGTTGGATATGCCAACTGAAAAAATATCTTGATGTAGTAAAAGTATGTAATTAAATATGCTGGAGCCTCCCAAACAATCCTTTTGGTATTGTTCCAAATAAAAAGTCAAGTAGGATTACTTGTGAAAATTCATTTACAGTTATATTTTTCAAACCAAAAGAATAATTAGGAAAGACAAAAAAAATTACTGATAATTAGGCACAATAACTGCTAGAAAGTCATTGGTCTACTAGGAGTATCAGGAATTGCCATCTTTCACTAAATTCTGATTTTCACTATCCAGCACAAAACATGATGGGTCTCTCCTGATATTTTTAGGAGCAGCTGTTATTGGAGGTTTTTTGACAATCACACTATTTAGTTCCTTTGAAGGAAATGAAGTCATGTGTTTCAAGTGTCAAAGTTTGGAAACAGTGAGATAGATAATTACCATGAAATTACTAGGTAATTACAATTCAGTGTATTGATTTTGGACCCAGAACAGATGTCATGACCCTCAATATATTATCAAATCAAAACATGCTTCCTTTTTAAATTTTGCTACTGTTGCAGAGATGCATAGCATTTTCTATAATGTGTTAACATTTAGAGATGGACTTACGCAGTTGCACTTTTCTTTTTTTCAGAGTAGATATGATTTTTACACCTGGACCTCCATCTACTCCCAAGCATAAGAAATCCCAAAAGGGAGGAGCTTTTTCTTACCCTTCACAACAGTCTCCCAGGTGAACTTTTTATGCCTAATATTTTTCACAGACCAAAACAGAAATAAAACGTTAATTCATACCAATAAACATGTCCTTCATTCATCCAGCCAGTACACTGTTATAGTAATGATAGAGAGGATATGTTGCTACAAGATACATATGTGTAAATGTTGAGCCAGAAAGACACTAGCTTCCCTAAGAACAATGTATGATGGAAATCTAAACTTAATGGCTTCTTAATTGTCTAGCTCAGCTTCTCCACAGTTTGGAAATGTGATTTTATATGAAGTATATACATTTGGTTGCTGATATGCTGAATTTCTAACATTCAACTAGTAAACCCACTTAAAAATTCAATAAAAATCACCAATAGTTTGAAAGTAAACCAGTTATCTTCCTGAAGTGCAAAAAGTTTCGTTACTGCCCCCACCAAATAGCAAGCAGAGAGTTTTAATGATGCTGCTTTTAAACCAATGGCTGGTGAGAATTACTGAAAATAAATTGCAATACCAGGTTTCTGGGTGTGAAAGTTACAGCCTGTTATTGTATTGCTGCATTCCTGGTAGGAAGAATTCAATAATAAATGACATTTCTTCTGTTAGTTACAACTATCAATCTGTCAATAAATACCCATGAAAAACCACACAAGACCATCAACAATCTGTACCGAAAGCTGTTATTGTTGCTCAGAACAAAAGTAATCTTACAGAAAATAAATTAACTTGGCTCTATCTGATTTATCTCACCCAGTGAAAAATCTAAAAACACATAAATGTGAAGACAGAGACCTACATATATGGAAGAGGCAAGGATCATTTGGGAAACAAAGCAGATTGCAAAATTTGAATGAGCCCATATCATCAGTAACCCAATGTACAAAATCTAATATGTTTAATTTATAGTTTCTGCTTTAGTAAGATATATTCACAGCTCTATTTTGTCAGAAAGAAAAGAACTGGGCCTGTTAAAACAAAAGTTTTAGGGTGCATTTGTTCTAAGCCATGTTAAAGAACAAGTGCTTGTTTTTCTAGACTTTGATGTAGGTTATGGAAAAATATAGATTCCTTTGAGGTTGATTTGGAAACATTTTGATAAAGATTTAACTTGATAATAACCATCCTAGATCCCATTAAGTTATAAATCAAAGTTCTTTAGGTAAGCAGAGATCTTCTTACCTGCTGAAGTTAGTCCATCTGATGGATGGGCAGTAGGAAAGTACATAGAACAACATTTATTCTGGAATCTACTCTAAATCTCCAGACCAGACTGTCTCTTTTCAGCATTTCCAGTCTCTGCCACTTCCTATTTGGTTTAATGAAATTGGGAAAAAAAAACCACTCAGCCTTGAAATTCAGATTCAGTCTTCAAAGACACCAATTATAAAGAACTGGATTTAAAAACACATGGCCATCTGTAGACCCACTCTCTAGACTATCTCAACATTTTTCACAAACCTGAAATTATTCCATCAAGTCTGAGATTAATCTCACTTTCATTTTGAACTTTTTGTTTGCTTTTGTTTTTTCTTAATCTTTATCTTCATTTTGAACCAAAATAATTTTAAATTAAAAATCAGGAATATATTTTTTTTTTTTTAGAAATGCATTGGAATCACATAGAATAGACTTTTGCTCTTGTTTGTACAATAAAGAACTAAATTCAATCTTTTCTTAAATGGGGCTCCAAGGAGCTATATGAATATACCACCAAGATGGTAATTCTATTTTCTGATATAAATTAATTACTGTGATGCAAAGAAAAGTTGGACACTAATAAAGTTATTAATTCTTTATAGAAATGATCCATATGTAGCCAAAGCATCTACAGCAGATACTGAAGACCAAAGTATGATGGGCAAATTTGTTAAAGTTGAACGACAGGTATGTAATTTCATGACAATGATGGAGACTGAGGCGCTTATACAGAACTGATAAAGCTGACAGAAATTCTGTATGAGTCTTTGGCTGACCCAGGCAGATTTGTACTGTCGGTGATCAAGACTCACACAGATCTTGTGCTAATGATCACAAAACTACGTTGTTAATTTTTCATGAAAGAATTTCATTAAGTGGGAAGTGTGTATTTTGAAAACTATTGAATGACTATCATTATATATGGCAGCAAGACCCTAACCATGATGTTCAGATGGAACTTTTTCATTCCCTTAAACTCTGTACTCATCATCTCTGGTGTTTTGCTGTAAGCGCCACCTTCTTCTGCAGGGTCTGGCACTCGGAAGGATTGCCTCCACAGGTATTTTTGGGCCCTCTTTGTGCAACCTAACCTATTGCTTAGCAAGCCAAGACACTTTCATTTTTAAATATATAACTAAGTAGGATGGAGGCAAGTGGCATTGATTCACATCAGTTCCTTTCATGGAATGTAGATGTTCAGGCACAAAGTACTATCAAAAGAGAAAGGAAATTAGTTCTGATATTTAACTCTGATGTTGTGGGACTACTAAGAGTCAGAGAATAGGTCTGTGTGCAAAGGTGATTCCATCTGTTGTATTTTGGTAACAGCTATTTACTGTATGGTATCAAGACTTTGGTCATTGTAGACTGGTGTTGGATGCTGGACTGCCAAATATCCAGCAAAGCTAAGAATTTTTTTGGCACAGTTCATAGGGATGGGTCTTCTTAATCTGAGGCAGTTAGAGGATAAACTGGCATCCACTGCAGTCCAGCTTCCATGGGAAAGTCATGATTATCCTATAATTACCTTCATGACCAATAAAGATAGCAGCACACCATTGCTGGGGGCAGTTCACCTATGGGAGCATTGACTCTTTCACTGAACAACTGACTTGAGACAATATCATAACATTGGTATTTTTCAGGTTAATGACATGGGGAAGAAACTGGATTTTCTTGTTGATATGCATATGCATCATATGGAACAGCTGCAAATACAAGTCGCTGAGATAAGTCCATTGAAAGAAACTGCTTCTCCTGCAAAGGAGAAGAGAGAAGAAAACAAATATTCTGAATTAAAAACAATAATATATAAATACACTGAGCAGTGTGCTCATGAATCTCCTTACAACTTCCAGCAGGTTCCAGTCAACAAAGTCAGTCCTTATGGTTTCTCAGCACATGGTCATATGACTCATTCACAACCTTTATCAACAGGTGGGCAAAACTCTGGCAAACTGCAAGCCACACCTTCCTCAACTTCATATGTAGAAAGGCCAACAGTTTTGCCTATATTTACATTAATGGACTCCCAGGTTAGCTACCACTCTCAAGGAGACCTACAAAGCCCTTACTCAGATAAGGTGTCTCCCAGGCAGAGAAGGAGCTTAACAAGAGACAGTGATACTCCATTATCCCTTCTCTCCGTCAACCATGAGGAACTTGAGCGCTCCCCAAGTGGCTTCAGTATCTCCCAAGACAGAGACGACTTCCCGTTTGGCCCCAATGGGGGATCGGCGTGGATGAGAGAGAAACGCTACCTAGCAGAGGGGGAAACGGACACAGACACCGACCCTTTTACACCAAGTGGCTCCATGCCTTTGTCTTCTACAGGAGATGGGATTTCAGATTCAATATGGACCCCTTCAAATAAGCCAGTTTAAAAGTGCGTATTGGGGCAGTCACTGGTTGACTTCTCCATGTAATGTAAGCATACTTTGTATATCTCACTTACTCTACACCCAAAGCTTACTAGTTCAAAACACCAATGGCTGCATAAGATGCATGTGATATTAGTGGTAGTCATTCTGCACCATTTCATACAATTTACTAATGCAGTTTTTTTCATGCTACCAAAACTAAGGAGCTTAGTTTTGAGCATGGTTTGCATGAATTTACCCTATATAAATGGTACAGCTGATTTCTTCTATGATACATATCTATCTGATACTCTTCAATACTACAATGGTGAATTGATAACAGGTGAGATATGGTGGTCCTTGCTACATTTTGTAAACAGAGCAGCAAAGTAAATATATATTTTCTGGAGCAATATCTCTTTGTGGAAACATAACATCTGAATCCATTTTCCAATATAAGTAAATCAATCTCTAACCAACCTAGCCAAGAACATCCAATACGAAGCAGGGAAAAAGCTGAGTAAATGACCCTACTGAAATGGTTTTGTGAGCTAAATGTTTCTCATGTGATCTATTATACAACTACCCATGAAATAAAATGTCAAAATGAAATCAGGGGTAGAATTTAAAATTATCAAAGCCACTTCCTGGAATTGGTCATAGGTATTTATTTATTGTAAAATTGTAAATATAAATCCCTCAAACTACTTTGAAAATCTCCACTAGTGTTTATAAAATTGCTCAAAGTGTGACTACAATACTATTTTATAGAAAATAATTTCCTCAGGCCATTTGTTACTTACAGGGCCAATGTTTTTTTCTGTTCCAAAAATAAAGTTGTTCAGTGTAGGGA